ATGTGTAAATAAATAGAAATTATAAATAATAAATAGATTACGCAAATGATTTCGAAGGCATATTGCAAAAATCAATCTGTAGGTACATCTATTTGACAATCTTTATGGCGTAGTATGTTTTGAAATGTGTTCGTTTGTTTGTAAGAAACATATACCACAGATACAATTAATAGATTAAAAAAATAATTAATATGCCACTAATAAATAGAAAAGATTAGATTTTTCGTATATTTGTTTGCCATGGATAAATTCAACAATCGATATTTGAAATTTCTTACTACTTTTTTCTTTACTACATTATTAGCGAGTAACATATGTTTTATTGTATATTTAAAATACCGTGTGAAGTCGGGGCGGGCCATTAGTATGAACACATTTTTAATTAATTCAAAATTTTTCAGTAAATCTTAAGAATCAAAAAACAGACTTATTTATTGTAGTATATGCTTCAATACAAAATGCAAATTCAAAACATTTGGAAATATATACAGGTATGTACTTAGAAATTAAAAATTTGTTATATGACGTGAAAAAAGTACGTTAGACGCACCATTATTATTTCTCATCACCATTATTTACAAGCTAAATAAAAAATATAATTATAGTATGTCTCATCATCTTACATGTTTATATTTTATAAAATCTCCTATTTAGTTTATAATAGTTAATGACAAAGAACTTGAGTTTTGTTCCATTAAGTAACTTAACATTTTTTGTTTTTTTTTTTCTTTATATAGGAAACACGTAGTTATATTATTATCTATACAACATAATGTGTATAAAAAGATGTAATAAAGAATTCCGCATTGTGACAAAAAAAAATAATCGTTGTATAATTTTAGAGATTTTTCACAATAACAATTTGAGATAAAAAAAAATAAGTTGTTATATCAGCCGTTAATTGTCCACTGCTGAACATAGCTTCCCCGGGGGGAAAGGGATTGTTACTAATGGAGACTGAGAATCCCATTGCTAGCAATATACCCAACCAGGTCGACCTCCTCGCGGTTCCCCCTGGAAACTATCATGGTTAATTTCACCCTTTACTGGTGCTCCGCCAGCGTATTCCGTTAGCGCAGGCGGGGTTACCATACCATTTTCACCCATCAAAAAAAAAACATAACTTCCCCTATAAGGGGGTTTTGCCAGCAGTTGCCATGGTTGCAGTGTGTGCAAGTTGCAGGCGGGTTAGCAACCGCAGTTTGACTTTTGGTAATGTTTTAAGAGGGACGCTACTGCTCATTCTTCTACCATAAGCTCCCTCTAGTCGACACCCATGGAAAAGAAAGTGGTGGCCTATTCTATGACGGTCTCTACATGGCTATATCAAATAAATTCAGGTTAAAAATTTAACCTGAACTGAATTAATGATCAAAAATTCTAACTCTTTTATCATGGGATCTAACATAGAAACTTTCGGTCCCGAATCAGTGTTGACACCGCCAAGTAATTAGTTGTGATTTATTTTTTAGTCATGTTCATATAAAATTCACTTATATTCAAATGTTGTTTATGGAAATTTTACAATAAAATAAAAATAAATTTACAAAAATATATTAATTAAGATTATAATGTATTTAATAAAGAATGAAGAAAACTAGCTTTTTGCTGGCTACTTTGTACGCTTGAGTTTTAGAAGTAAGTAAACCTATATAGACTAATTCTAAATGGCATATCAAAATAAAACATATATCACATTTTAAATTAGACCTTCTGTGGAACACAACTATGAAAACTGTATCCAATTTGGTGAAGTAGTTTTTGCGTGATGCCGGAATAAATTTAAAGACAAACAGACGGTCAGACAAAAATTCTAAAAAATATTGTTCTATTACGTCTATTGGTCCACCCCTTTCCTATCCCGCATAAGTCTAAGGGACTTATGCGGGATTCTTCTTATTTACCAATTTCCTTTAAGCATTTTCTACGGCTCCTTCCTTTTTTTCTTAATTCTTTCCTCCATACCGTAGATGGCTGAAACCACCGACAAATGCATTCCCAAAGAGGGTTGACGTCAGGCAGGCGGCCATAAAACTAAGCCAAATTTTCTTGTAATATGGATAAAAAATATATTACGCCGACCCAATAAAAAACCCCTTATAAAGACCCAATATAAAGGACCTTTATTAATTTTTTCTTAAATATTTTCCCATTTTTTTTATACAACTTAGAATGGCAGACAAGCTGACGGCCTACCTGATGGAAAGTGGTAACCGTCGCCTATAGACATGAGCAGTATCATGGACATAACAGAGTATACTGTTTCGCGTTGCTATTCCTGAGGACTCAGGTGTTATTCCTCTGTACCCAGTAAATTCACGCCATATCCCACCCTTCAAACCGAGCCATGCAAACATAACTGGTTTACGGTTGAAACACGAATGGGACAGAGGTACCCGAGCAAATGACTTTTGTACAAAGTCTCCCTCTGGTAACATCATCGTCTGGTTACAGTTTTATTATATTTAAATAACACTGGGGTCTTATGAAGTTATGTACTCATATTGTACAATTGTAATAGAACTAAGTCACTGGAATTTTTTGTATATTTACGCAACATATGCCTTATGAATAATTATATGAGAGTATGAATTATTAATTAAGATAAATATGAAATGATCTTTTTTATTAATTAAGGTATGCCGTGTGGTCCCGGCAAAGAGTAGGCCAACCCTTCTTTTACCGTGTGTGTCGTAAGAGGGCACTGAGACAGCTCAATGGTCGAGACATGGGCAGTAGCGTCCTTCTTAAAACACCACCAAATCCTAACTGCATTTGCCAATCCGTCTGTCAAACGTGGCAACTACTGGCAAAACTCTCCAATGAGGGAACATATATTTAGTAGTGGACAGTTAACGGCTGATATGATGATAAATGTGAATAAAATATGTTTTATTCTGATACGCCATTTTGGTATCTACTTCATTGAATTGTTCAACTTCCAAAATCCATGCGTACGAAGTTACAGGCAAAAACTAGTTATGAATATTTATGAAACCTATATTTTTGTATTAATGTCCTAGTCTAGATGGATAAAAACTATCGTTTTGTATCAAGGTCATTCCCACTGAATACAATGACATGATGTTATAAAAATACGCCATCTATTTAAACAAAAAAAAAAAAAAACAACAAATACGAGAATGATATCAAGTTACATAATTTGTGGAGTTCTTAACGTCGTAGATAATGTTTTATTAAATAATTCAAACTACTTTAAATTAATTGATAATTACATAGGCGTTTTGAATTAGGTATTATATTTATCTGTGGTATAGTATTTTTTCTCTATGACTTAAAAAAACTGTAGGTCACAGCTGAACATTTTTTTTAATCAACTTAGAATAACAAACAATCTGACGGCTCACCTGATGGAAAGTGGTGTCTGTAGAGTGTAGAAACATATTTTTATGTTTTTTTGTATATTGAAAAAATTTTAAACTTACGAATATATGAGGTGCCTAACCTATTATAAGCTACCGGCATGTTCATATGGGCCGCTCAGTACCCAAAGCTAATTGTTTTTTTTTTGTTCATTGCTCGTATTTTACAAAGAAGCTATGTATGTATATTTCGTTATATGGTCTTATAGGCATTTCACCTTATCTTATTAATATTATAAGTACGAAAGTTTGTAGGATGTTTGTTACTTTTTCACGCGTAAACTACTAAGCGATTGAATGAAATTTTTTACACAAGTAGGCTATATCCTACGTAGCACATAGAATACATTATTTATTGACTAGTTGATCTAGCGAATTTTGCCTAACATTCATAATATTTTTTTTTGTATTCTTCTATTCGGGGAAGAGACGAATCCAACAAATCATAGATCATCAAAATCTATCCAACCGTTCTGGAGTTATTTGTAACGCCTGAACTAACCCAACTTTGTTTTATTCATATAGATTCACGCAGACGCGAGCGAGGAACTGCGGGATACAGCTAGTTATCAAATAATTGAAAAATTGGTGGAGTGATAATAACAATAAGTATTAATAAGATGGCTAGTGTTTGTCATTTGCACGGAAGTATATGCACATGTTATATAGGCGTTAATTAACACATTACCAGCTCTTGTAATGCATCTACTGTTTACCATTATTACACCTAATATCATTGTTCTTTTGCGAAAAAATAAATTAAAACAAGACGAGACTACGACGCGCAACAAATACAGTTATCTCACAGTATTTAATGGGCAATTAAATTCCTTGGCCATTATGTCATAATACATCTTATTATATGAGGATCAGCATTAATTAGCAAAAAAAAAAAAAATTGCGTGTATCATATAAATTATAATTACAGAGATTTCTAATGCATGTAATAAGATTTTATTGCTGGATATGAGGTCCACTTTGATGCACGAGGAAAGACAAGTTATTTTTTTTAAATCTATCCTGATTTCGAAATAGGTACTAGGGCGAAAAAGTCGCATAATGTAAAGGTTTTGTCTATTACAAAACTTTGAAGTAGATGTATATACAAAGGAATCTGAATGAATGTGCAAAAATATATAATATTTAGCATAAGGAGAAATTTCCAAGACGTTTATTGTTAGGTACAGAGCAGATATTACAGAGGCTTTTTTAATTAATACCTATTAAAACACAAAAAGTTTTAATCATTTCAAATATTATGGTGAAACAACATAAAAAACGGCTCATTTTATATTAAAAAAATCTAAAAAATATAAATCTATACAAAAAAGTAGTTATTTAGGTGGGCCATTTAAAAAAATCTAAATGTAATACCTATTTTTCCACGCAAGCGTATCAAATGCTTTTGTTGGCAAGCTAATATAAGGTTACATATTGTGAGTTCACTCACTAATCATGTCAGCTCGGCTGTATCATCAATCATCATCATCATCACCACTTGTAACAGTGAAAGTTAATTAAATAATAAAATTGGTATAGAAATTAATGACCCCATTTAATGACCTTCTCATCAACTTACTAATTTAAGTAGAGAAATTAAACAAAAATAATACTTACTGCAAAATGTTAACGAACGCAGCATGTTGTCGGTGCTGCTGTGGGGACTTAGACTAAACCTGAAAAAATAAGGAGATATTTTTAAACCTTATAGATTAAATCTCACTACTGTAGTTTTGGATAGGCGGTAGAAATATAAAAAAAAAAACTATTCACATTTTTTTTTATCGATATTTATGCTAATTCTAAACTGATTTTGGTATTTTTTTTGGTATAAGTAATCTCATATGAACATTGTCACAAGCTTAAAGTATTTTTTTTTTATTTCCAAACACAATCCTTAATAGTCCATCTTCTCTATCAAAGTTAACTTTTTAATAGAGTTTAGTAAAGTTGAAACTTAATGTAGATATGATATCTTTAATAGATAATAATTTGGTTTAAACTTTTATTTAGAGGTAAGTAATGGAGTTAGCATGAAATATGGAAGAGGGCATGGAAATAAAAATTGTCCCAATTAACTTGTTAACTGGATAACTAGCAGGAAATTGAATTCGTTTAAGATTTATCTCACAGATTGCGAATGAGAAGACGCACGCGCATAATGTCTATTGTTTAAAACTTAACTATTAACTTGATTTAAATAGATAAATTTGATAGCAATCAGTTGAGCAATAACTTATTTGTGATAACACTGCTATGAGCTCATCGTTTTCGTGTGAGATTTCCAAGTTTTGTTAAATTAGGTTAAGAATTGATGTTTTTAACATTTATGTTACCTACTAGAAGGACACTATATAAAACAAATTGCTTCAGTAGGTATCACTCACTTATTAATTTTTATTTAAACCTGGTATGCTTCGTTCCATTTTCAATTGACAACAAAAAGAAGTAGGTTCCACATTCGTTTGTTTTTTATATTTATTACTTTAAAGTCCGTCAGTTACACACCTATTTAGAAAGATTTTTTAAGGATAATTTTTCATCCTAATAGCTATTTAGAATACCTATCCGAGTCTCCAATGTCCTGGTTACGTATTTTAAAATATTACTACGCGTATTATAATTCCGTAGCGGAATTAAACAAAGTAATTCTAATCAAATAACCAGTGATATGGACATCTGCAAAATAACACCTAGTCCAGTAAAATATCTACGCTTTTTACTATTATATAATAACCTACTATATAAATGCTGTGCATGGATTTTTTCTATTGAAAGAAAGAAAGCAAGAAATATTTTTCTTCAAGCAAACTTAGATTGAAGCATTTTTGAATAGTCATTCTTTCATTACCGCCTATTTGGAACGCATTTTCAGCCAAGAAGAACGGGTTCTTGCCTGTACTTCTTCAGCTGTTGTTTTTTTTTCAAAAGTTTCCATAGGTAGAAGATATTAGCTTATTATAACTAGGCATGGGTTTTTTTTTATCGGTGAAGATGGAATGGTAACCCCGCCTGCGCTATCGGTATACGCTGACGGGGCACCAGTGAAGGGTGACAGATGAGGATGATAGCAGGTCAGTTGGTCCATAGTGACCAACTGAACAAGAATTAACCACTATGGTTTCCAGGGGGAACCGCGTGGAGGTCGACCTAATAGGGTGTATTGCTAGCAATGAGGTTGTTAAATCTCATTACTAACAATCACTTTCCCCCCACTAGGCATGGGTTATATCGGTACAGCTGCGATATCTATTTATTGGCTTCATCTAGACATTGATGAAGGAAAAAATAGGACATCACCCATTTCAGTATCGCAAGTACTAGCCTGATATCTATATTAATTTCGATAGGGCTCTTCGTTTCCATATTTTATATTGAATAACCGATTTTGTATATTGGTTAACCGAAGAATTTAATATTTAGGTTATTGGACCAATTTATAGATAATATAACTACAATTTATATAAATATTGCTATAAATTAACCATCTTTAATTATATCTACTTATTTGGAGTTTTTATTCTTTTATTTCTTGCATTGTACATTCTCTTTTTTTGTCTAGTCATTAATGGAACGATATTTTATAAAGATCATAGACAATCATTTACATTTTTTCATCAATACTTTCGTTAACTAATTCGCCATTTTTACTTTCATAAAAAAAGTCAATTTAGTCGTTTAATTAACGAGTGTAACATACAGAATTATAAAAAAATATGGAACAGCACAGATAAATCAAGATCATGATACAGACAGGAAGACTTCCTTCCACAATATGTTTCGAGTATAGATAACAATGCGCGCAAAGAAAATGATTAAATTCACAACATGTGAGACAATCTGCATTGTCTACATTATGCATTAGTTTGCAAAAACGAGGCTATTATTGGGAAAAGAATTTTAATATGGTATTGTCACCAAGTTTTGTTCATTAAATGTACCTACACAATATTTGTGTGAATAAATACTATTATTTTTATCTGATATGTAAATTAATGATTCTTAATGTTATTGTACTTTTTTTTTATTTTTTATGTGGATGCTTCGCGATATTTCCGCTAATTACAAATCAATTTTGTCTTTGTCAAGACTTTTTCCGTACCTTAATTTTATATTCTACATTAAATGGTATCTATAGTTCTCCTTTCCACTCAGGGTTTACTGGAAGAGAAGTCTTATAGTTAAACTCGCCTGTTTTACATATTTATTGAAAATAATTTAAAACAATGCAATCTTATTGTGTAATCTTTGCTATCGAATATCTTTTATAAAAATAATTTATATTTATGTAATCTTTGTGTATAATAAAGTATAATATAAATAAATAATATATCTTAATTCCTTTTTTAGATAAAATAAAAAAATATTGTTATTTTATTTTATTACTTTTACTTAATTTACTACTGTTACTTAATTTATAAAAATTTACGATAATTAAATCATATTAAAAAAATTGTTTCGTTACCATCCTTAAATTAAATATTTTCTATGAAAATATTTACAAATTGATTTGTCATAGTAAATAGAGTATACAATTACGCGTAAGTTTTTAAAGATATATTTAATATATTACTATACAAATAAGATTACACTTATTATTCGGTATTTCGAGATATATGGTAAGAACCTATATATTGTTATTGGTAAATATTTAAACTGTATCTAAAATACTCTTAGATACATATATGTACTTTATGACTAAATATATCTATATATTTAATGGCATATGGAATGGGAAACAAGCTAAGGCCAGCCTGATGGAAAATGGCAATGGTTGCTTATAGACAATAACAGCACCGCAGGCTTAATAAAATAAATATACTGTGACACATTGTGATAAATATATCGGGGATACCGTATCAATAATACTGAGCCATTCCTAAGAACTATTGTTATTATACTAATTAAACTTTAAAAAAAATAACACATTTTCTCACAGTAAATTGCTCACTCTCTATACCTATATTGAACCTCAACAACACTTTCGATTCCATTTTTGAAAAGTACACTTCAAATTTTGAATTTCGAATAGCTTTTTTCAAAATGACTCACCGTGTGCGTACGGAGCGATAGCGCGTAGGCACGGACTGCGGCGATGATCGCACGCGCAGGCTTTTATGACCGTTGCTATAGTAACCACCACCGCTCATGAAGGGATGCCTTCAGAACAGAGGGCACAGTGTTAGTTGGTTTGCAAAATGTGTGTGCCAACTTTAGATGTGTGGTTAAAGCTTAGTGCCCTACGGTTAAATTAAATAAGGGAATACCTACTTACATTGTGGTAAAACTGACCGGTTTTGTTGTTCGAACCAAAGAGAATAAATACGTGATACCTATCTCAATCTATATAAAAGAAAAAACTAGGCGTGTCTTTTGATTGAAAGAGAAGAACTGATAATCCCCAATTAGAGTTAGTCAATTAGAGTTTTTTGTGTGTATGTTATTTATGTAACAGTATCTTCATTAATTTTGAAACTTTAAAACTTTTTGAATTCCACAGAAATTACTCTCATATTGGTTTCATATTAATATTGTAAAGACAGCAATTGTGGGATTTTTGCGGAGCAAAAATTGTTGTTATAAAATCAATTTAATATAATTTTCATTAAAGGACTTTAAATCGAAGGTGACTCAGCTACTATATATTAGATATATTTATATTATATTTATATATATATATATATACATATACATATACATATACATATATATAGATATGTATAATATAGCGTATGTGTTAACCTAGTCCATGTGTGAAATTTAATTTTCTTATAAACATTTATATTTGATAATCTAAGATATACATATAAAGCCCACATTTTTAGAGAGTTTATAGGGATAGGATAGATATGTTCTGTCCCAATAAATCCATATAAAGTCGCAGTTTACGGCTAGTTAAAAATATTATTACAAAGACCTGTGTAGGTATAATGGCCAGTTATTTCCCAGTGAATCTTGTACATTTTGATAAGACTATGTGATTAGACGTTGCTTTCTATTGCTCTAGTTGGTCGATAATTCGATAGCCATCGCAATCGAATGGAATTCGGCAATCGGCATCAATCCTAGATGCATCTCGACATCTACAAATGGCTGGCGTCTGTCGATCTGTGTGCTTATGCTTGTTAACCAAGTGATTTGACAACGAAAGAGCATTTCAATACGTTATTTCTATGGACTTTCCATTTGTACCTTTTATGGTGGCTTAGGAATAGGGTGACCGTCCGTAAAAACAACAAACCAGGATAATAATACCTACATCAAAGGTGGACTTCAAATGAATCATTTGCATGGATAACTCTATCCCATTAAGGGAAGAGACTGTTAGTAATGCCTCTAACAACCTTATTGCTAGCAATATACCACATGTCGACCTCTACATGGTTTACCTGGAAACCATTTTGGTCAATTTTTGTTGAACTTATCACAATAAGCTAACTGACCTGCTTTCATCCTTCTTTATCATCTCCTATTTGTACCATGCGTGTTCTGATAGCGCAGGCAGGTTTACCATTCCATTTTCACCAAAACATGAAACTCTATCCCAATTGTGTTTCTATCGCCAAGTATCTACTTTTCATATATATAACACTTTTTATATATCTTACTATCTTAGACCTCTGTTAGTAATAAGAATTAGCAATTCCATTGCTAGCGATATACCCTGTCAGGTCGACCTCCACGTGGTTTCCCCTGGACACCATAGTGATTAATTCTTGTTGATTTCATCACGATAGACTAACTGACCTGCTTTCATTCTCACCTGTCATCCCTCACTGGTGCCCCGCCAGTGTATACCGATAGTGCAGGTGACGCTACCATTTTATTATCATCCATTAAAAACCTTAGACCTCAGGAACCATTAGCGTATATTGTAGGTATAAATAGTCTACGATAACATGTCACGCCCCTCTAACACTTTACTTTAATGTGTGGGACTATATACGACTACGATGCTCTCTTTGTGAGGAGACGTCTCCAATAGTGGTCCTTGTAAATATTTATATTTACGTATTTTTAATTCTTTGTATTTTGCATATATGGCTATATCTACATAAGAAGTAGTATAATGTCATAGGTGACGATTATCAATTTCTATCAAATAAGGTTTCACCTTTTTTGAAATTCTTAGTTGTGTAATGTTTTTTCATTAAAACCTGAATATGTTCGAATTTAAATATTGCAATATAATTTAGAGCGAAGCTATATTTTCCTCGTATGTAAAAAAAACTATTATAACTTCACATATAAGAATGGGAACAAGTGCGGAAGAGTAGTGGGATGTTACTGGATTTCTGATGCAAGAGCAGAATTTAAAATTAAAAATTACGTTAAAATTCCATTCTGAACAAGGAGAATTTCGATGAATTTCGGAAGGATGGTGACCCTACTAGAAAGATTTGTGTTTAGATACCGTCTTCTGAAAATTATAGGACATAAAAAAAACGTGAATAACACAGCAAATTATAGAATATCCATATATCCCACTATTGGGACGAGTTTCTTTAAGAAGAGAATAGTGGTTTACTACTAGCACCCTGTTCAGACTCTGTTAAAAACCTATACCGTTCGGTATGGGATTTTATTTCAAGATTTTCTTCTTTCTTTGGTGTATTGAGTTTTTTGTTCCCTAAGTTATCTCTAGTCATACGACATATTGGGAATGGAAAGAGGTATTGTATTCTGATTTTTTAGTCTGTTACATTGGCTGAATTACAGTACATCAAGTCACATGAATTCCTAAACTTTTTTTACGTAGGCAAATTCATCATGGAGATCCACTCATCCTGGGAGAGACGACTAGATACTGCTTGACTTTTATCTGCTAAAATCCCACGGTATGTCGTCTCTTCTCTATAGTGTCAGGGCCACAGGTTTGCTGTCGCAGTCGACTGCAAACGTGGCCTCTCTTTTTAACATAGAAGAAGCACTCTTTTCTCCAACTTTAAGGGAACTTAACTCCAACTTTACTAGAACACTTACTGCGCACTCCATACTTTAGATTTTATTTAATAAGCAGTAGAGGGCTGTTGGATATGGCCTATTCTTGGTTAATAAATCTAGCCATTCGTTACATTATATTATGAAACTAGGACCAGCCCCCGTAAGGTCTCACGTACGAATATTATGCTACATTGTACCTACGGTATTGGTAGAGCAAGGTATCGCAACATCTCAACTTTGCTCCGAGCAGCTTTATATCTTAATAGAAGCTTCTGCCTTAGTTTGTAGCTAATTGAATACGTTAGGCAACCGTCATATATTTCTGAAGATGCGGCACGAATCGTGACCGGTTTATTTTATCACTCAACTGATTTTGTCCGTGTAAGTCCTAAAGTCTAAGATCTTAGGCTTGTATTTTTTAGGTTTAAAAATGGAAAGGATTTGATTTTAAAATCATACTAATGATATAAAATTCTAACTAGATGATGTTTGTATATGGGAAACATTTAAGAAAAAATAATATGAGTGGTCTTAATAAGGTCAATAGATACCGTAACAATAACTTAGAAATTTTGTCTGTTTTTTTTTTATACAACAACTTAGAATGGCAAACAAGCTGACGGCCCACCTGATGGAAAGGGGTAACCGTTGCCTATAGACGAGCAGTACCATGCACATAACAGAGTATACTGTTTCGCTCATGATACCCCCATGCGTTGCCATTCCTGAGGACTCAGGTGTTATATCCCACCCTTCAAACCGAAACACAGCCATGCAAACACAACTGCTTCACGGTTGAAACACGAATGGGACAGAGGTACCCAAGCAATCGACTTTTGTACAAAAGTCGATTGTTTCGGCATCACGTAATAACGTCCATATCAAATTGGATGCATGCGAATATTAGTTTTAAAGGAAAATCTCATTTTATTAGATATACAATTTGCGAATGAAGACAGGACAAAATAGGCAAATGTTGAGCTCCAAAAAAACTTTAAACATTCCAGTTAGTTTCGTGGGAATTTGACTAAATATTTTTTGTACAGTCTCGAACAATATATAATTGGTACAGGTTTATGGTGCGTCAAATGTGATACTATCAGTTATATTTATATGTATGTATACTATGAAATATATAATTAAAGACAATCCGACCCGTAACTGATTTACAATATTACGGTAATTAATAAAATCCTTTGATTTTACATGTTTGTTCTCTACAACACAGTTCTATAGTTGGATATAGTTCATTATCTTTTATTGTTTCTATGGTGACATTTTGGTTATTATATTTATATGTTTATAGAACAACTACTTCTATATGTTATCCTATTGATATAATAAATGTGAAATTTTGTAATGATGGATGGATATTTTAATGAAATTTAGGTATACGTGTTGGTTATATCTTAACTTAGTACGTAAGATTACACTTTTTACTTGTGATTTACGTAGTAGATCGAAAATTTGGTGCCTCCATGTTCAATTAAATGTCTTTACTAATATTATTACAGTATAAAGAACTTCTTTACACATTATAAATGTGAAAGTGTGTTTGTGTGTTAACTTTTTTTTTGTGTTAGCGTTTTAATTAAACCAATCACTATGAAATTTGATATACTGGTACAATATGGGATGGAAAAAAAATATAAGCTACTATTTATTCTAGTTACTATAATAGATATTTCGGTCACGCGGACTAAGTTGCTGGTAGAAGGCAGTAACTCTATATTTTTTTTTTTAATTTTTTTTAATAATAACTATACAATAATTGGAATGGCACACAAGCTGACGGCTCACCTGATGGAAAGGGTAAATAAACTTAATCTATTTTTTATAAATAAAAAGATGTTATCAATACCTAAATACATCGATATCATCTAAATTTACATGGAAATTAGTAGTAATTTCCCGCCATTACGTTCTTAAAGGGGCATAATCTTAATGATGGCGTCCGACTATGTGACCCAAAGTCGAAAACCCATGTCAAGGTCGCTGCACGCCATCAAAAATGAAGGTAGACGAACGCAAAGCGTTACAGAATACGTGATCATTTTATTTCACAAATTGGGTAGCGAGAATGTTGCAGATTTCTTTTCTTGCCATTTTAATCAATCTAAAGATAAATGCATGTGTATTAGAGGTGAAATACCATACATTCATTCACTGACTAATCACGAAAT